CAGAGAAAGGAAAAGAAATCACAAAAGACTGTGATCTTGGCTGGGTGCAGCCCCTTCTCTGTTCTTTAGGTATTCAGGGACGCAAAGCTGGAGGTTCCATAATTTACCAATTAAGACGGCTTTTTAGTGAGTTCAGCAGTACATGCTTACAGCACTAATCCTACCACAAATCATTAAACTAGTTAGGCACATAAAAACAATGCTTAATGGATGTAGTGGCACACAGAAAACGTCTGACTCTTTGCAGCAGCGGGAGCACATGTGTATGCATGAGTATCTGTGTGTGAGTCTAGTCCTCTTACATAAACCACACAAATGTATTTGATTTTTAGCAACTGTACAGTGTCAGACTTTGCAGCCCCTTCTCACAGTCATTCTTTGGCTTAAAAATCCTTCCAAGTTTCAAGCCATTGTTACAGAGTTTTATCTGACAGAAAACTGTAGAAGTTGCTAGGAATCTTTCCATTAGAGGAAGAGCTGGATCAGGCTCTTCCATGTAAAGCAATTTTTATTTGGCTCTCCAGGCTCTGTTCCTGGCTGTCTGTAGCATTTCTGGAAGACTGTTGACGTTGGCTCTCTCCTTCCCATCTGCACACATGCACAATGTGAATGGCAACTTTACCTCAGAAGAAAAAGTTGCACTCATGAACAGCCTGGGTGAAGTTGCTCAACTAACAAGAAATTTTCAGATTTATGGACATCTCTGGGGAGGTCAACAAAAACAGCAACAAAGCTATACAATTGAAATTTTTTATAAAACTTGGAAATAAAACTTGGTTGTTTGCAAGAGTCTACCCATATGCAAGATGAACATCCATGCTATCTTCTCTCTGTCTTATCATCACTTACAGTATCTTCCACATCTAACTATGTTTCCTTAGTGGCTTACCATCAAAATAACAGTTAGCCTGCACACCTGAAATATTACATATCTATAATATAAAACTGGAAGTATAGGGAGTGATAAGAAAAATATTTTAAAAGAAAGAAATGGATTTTTCCCCAATTTCTTAAGCATTTAACTTGCTTAACATAAAGTGACTATGAAACAATGAGTAAAAATTAGACTGCATTTTATTTTGTGAAGAACACTGGAAAGTTGGCAAGAGGTAAGAATTTTGCAGTGAAATAGGGAGGTGAACAAGTTGTAAATGATTCTAATATCTTCCAGATGGCATGTTTTACTTGGGAACTGAGTTTAGAGTAATTAGAGGCATGTGAATTTCCTATAAATGCTAAACTTCACCAATTTGACACTAGAAAGCTCCATCGTCTCTGAAGTCTTTAAACTGCTAAGTGTTTTTTTTCCCCCCACTTAGAGGAAGGCATGGATTTGTAAATTTGTCTTATTTGACCGACAGAAACCATTTTTTCCGTGAAAAGATAGCATTTTTCCATGCCAGAAAGTTATGAACTGAAGTTCCCCACAAAAGAGGCTTAAAATTCATAGTTTCTTCCCAAAAGAGGTTTTCATTTTTATGTACTGGGATCATTATATAGTAATTTATTGCACTGCGTAGCAAACAATGAAATCATTAAAGTTTGCCCTAACTTCAAGATTAAATCTTTTCATTGATACAATATTTTTTGCAGACAATTATGCTGAATTACTTAGCAGATGAATTTTGCTTTTCCTTACTTTACGACACTGAAATGACAAAATCTGGTCCACAGCTTCTGATTCTTCCTCTTTTTTGCCTGACTTTGTTACATCATTGCAGAGATGAATCTTGATGCTCACTTTTCCGTTGAAGAATTTACCATGTTTTATTTGATGTAAATAGAATAGGACTAAGTAAATACAAGCTAAAATATTCTGTCATCACTCACCCCATTTATCAGTGAAAACTGGCTTAGATCCATTGACATAAAGGGGCTAATCTCATTTGCAGGAGCTAAAGATCTGTCTACTGTTCTCAGTGGAGCAGTATAGATAAAAGTGCAGATATAATCTTGCTTGTTTAGTTTAGATATGCAGTTCTGCCAGTCCCAGTATTCAAAAAACCACAAGCCAAATGACCAGAAGAATGTGATGAGAACAATCAGATTTTAAAATAGTAGCATCTTTTTTATTATTTCTGGGTTTTTCGGTTTTACCTTTGCTCAAGGAATGATGCATTTCAGTTTTCTTTAGCTTGGAGACAATTAAAAGCTTAGTTTTTAAGTGAAAGATCAAATTGTGAAGTATTGGATAATTCTGGAAACCAGTGTAAAAACAAGACTCTTGCTGGCATTAGTCATAATTAATTGGTTACAGTGAGTAACTGTAGATCTTCTTCAATGTCTTTGTTAGATCTTTTCTCTTTTTTCAGTACAGCCTTGTCCTTGTACTAAAATAGACGCTCACTAGCTCATTCTTAATGGAGACCCACTAATGGCATTAGTAAATTACTGAACAGTGGCCAAATCCCAATGGCCTTATTCCCAGAAATCTCTTAGTTTGACAGGACCTTTGTATGAGTAACTTCAGTGAATTTTGGCCCTGGGTGAAGACCATAAAAACACCAGCTTCTGACTCACAAAAGCCTAACGGAAACAAAAGACCCCCAGACTGACAGGGATTTCAGTAAGCTACAAATCATTAATCAATTGCAAATTTCTTAATTAAGTATCCATCACTTTAGAGAGCGTTGGGTTCAGATGATTCGCTGTCTCTCTGCGGGTGCTTTCTCCTTCACAAGTCCTGTGCAAGCAGGAGCCGTGTGACGAGCTCTTGCCAAAGGTGCTCCTTTCTCCATGCTGCTTCTGTGGTTCCTTTTCAACTGTGTGAGTGCCCAGCTCTAAGATACTGTGTTCTCAGAGTTTTAATACATTTAAAAAAATGGTGACTTCACTTATCCTGCCAAAGGCACATCCACACAAACAGGTGACTTAAGGGGATGGAAAAGGCTGAGATCTCCATTGAGAAGCCAGAGGTAGATGTTGGGAATGAGCAGCTAGACAGGAATTTGTACTGCAGGATGATGTGACACCACACACACCTGCATCTCAGTGAAAAGGATTAAAAAAGTAATTATAGCCTTTTTTTTCCCTCTAATTCACAAGCTATTCAGTGCTCAGGGAATTCTTATGCCCCCCCCCTTTTGACTGGTGGCTTGTACCAACTACAGCAGGCACTTGGGATCCTCTGAGGTCCCCGTGCTGTCTTGATCAGCATCAAAGTGTGCTTCCAGCTGCAGCAGGACTTTGGCACCCTAGAAGGTTTGTGTCAGGCCTGCCCCCATGGCTGGCATGAGGGGCAGTAGGTCCTCTCTGGATCTACTGAAAGTCCCCTCCGCCTGGGAAGCCTGGCGTGTGCCACATGAGAGGCTGCTGCCCTTTCCCAACCCGTGGGATGGGCTGGGAAACTGGAGCCTCCAGAGAGCAAACAGGCAGTGAGGGCTCTGAGGGAGAAAAATCTGACAGACACTGAGCTTAAGGGCATAAAAAGCAACCTATTTTGAGTTATGCCTTTTTTTTTTTTTAGGAGCATGTACTTGTATTTCTTGTTGATAATAAACTGGAATTAAGATTGGTATACTGTGAGAGTTTGTAGTTCTTAAACTAGCTTAAGTTAGATCTGGGGGGCAGATTCCTTGTGTCACAAGCACTGCAGTAAGTCCCATACTGCTAGTGGGGCACAAGTCCACAGCGGAGAACAACTCAGAACTCGTCCTTTAGATTTCAGAAAAACAGAGACGTGCAAACTCCTGCAACTCTTAGCGGAATAGCCATAAACCCACCTACAGATGCAACAGTTGGCTATAAAAATATATGGTATGTTCAGATGTGCGTTATAGTTGTATAGGTTTCACTGATTATTTTCATGATACAAAATGGCAGATATTTAGATTTCAGCTATGCTCTGCTATGTCCTAGGAAGGAATGCAGCAAACATTCAAGGCAGAAGATCATGCTGCCTTAAGAACAGGGAAATCTGTAGAAACTGAGCATGCCTTGGTGCAGTGGTTGACTTCGATGAGGGGCAATGCTTTGGAACAGCTTCACTTTACGTATAGCTTGCTGTGATGCATTTCAGGGGTCACTGGCATATTCAGAACTGAAAACAGACGTAAGCACTGTGATCACCTAATAGGAGCTGGAAATGAAAAAGTCACCAAAAGCAGTATCTTGTAACTGATTATGTTTTTCATTGCCCAGTATTCTTTTTTTTTATACATATAACTTGGCCTTCTCCTTGAAGCCATAACTTAATGCTTTCCAAAAAGAGAACAGGCTTTTTACAATTCCTTTAAGAACTTGTAGAGGGATTCTAGATTCACTCATGATTCCAACGGGAATTTTTCCCAGACATTGTTTTACTGAACCATGAAATCAGGACAGTCTGGTAATAGCATGTTGAGGCACCATCAGGGAGGACTGAGGGAGTCTGAGATCTCTGCAGAGCTTTTCAGCCAACTTTTCAGCCACTCGAGAGAACCCCAGACAGCCCTCATGCACCACGCAGTGCTTTGCACAGCGCTAGCTGAGAGTGAGTAAGACTGGAATATCCAGAGAGACATGGACATGTAATAAGAGAATGGGATTTTTTGCATCATGGTATGTTGCCTTAGCGTAGCGGCTCCAAGAAATATCCACTGATTACCCACCATCATGGGTGGATCTTTCCTATTTCCGCATGTGAAATCTTGCAGGCTCTTTCACCTGCCTCTTGAACTAGTGGTTATCACCGTGTTTATATTTACACCTCCGTGCCATAAACCCTAAAGGACTATATCATTACCAGAAATATTTGCCACACCATTGGCAGCAGTAGCTGAGCAAAGAATTGCCAAGTGGGAAATCCAAATTTGCAAACTCAGTATTCTGGGCTGCGCGCCAAGGCTGTCTGGGCGCTGCAGAGGTGACACGTTCAGCCTCCTCGCCGGGGTGCCAGCGTGCCAACAGCATCCCTGGCACGGCACCTTCTCCTGACAAACTTATGGAGGAGAGCTGGTACCCAGTGCGGAAGGAGAGGCAAGCTGCCTGCTGCACGTCCTTGGCAGCTGCCCCGGTTCCGCATGGTGACTGTACTCCCTCCTATTTACCACAGCAGTTGTTTGCGACACGCTGCAGTCTCCGGTAAGATGTTGAAAAGTGCAAAAATGACAGCAGGACTTTGGGTTTCAAATATAAAGTAGTAAAACTGAGAGTAATTCAAGTTCCCTAAGAAAAAGTCCATTTACTGCAGTCCAGATACCGTATGTTGTTGCCAGGGTGGGGGAATCCAAATCCGCTTGTTAGCTGCCAAGCAAAAGACGTGATGCAAAGAATATGAAGACTGTAGAGCTGCTCTCTAAACCTTTCCTTTTTCAAATCTTGCTTCATACCTCTTGTCTTACAGCTAAATTTCTTTACTGTACCTATATATATTTTTTCAAAGCAAAGGAAAGCAAAAAAGAAAAAATCTTCCCATCTTCAGTAGATCTCCATGAGCTGCAACTTGCAAGCCTCATTAGAGACAGCCTCTTAGTAACCAAATTGTGTCATTTTCAACTACACAGCAGCCAAAAATCACTGTAAATTACAGTTCTGTCACTGTAAGGACAATGGAAAGGTGCAGGCAGGCTACAGATACAGATGAGGAAGCACGGGAAAGTGATAGAATTTAATATGAATATTTTTGCAGAATATTGCTTCATCTAATACTAGAATTGGCACTTACTGGTCAATGATTTTTTTTTCTGTGTATAAGAGATGTAATAAGGCCATAGATAATTGTTTCTTGTCTAAAGCATAGCAGAAGAAAAATGCTGGATTCACACCCTTGTTTTTCCACAGTATTAAAAAGGCATGTTAAGTGTTGATTAACCTTTTTTATTAAAATTGTTTATATCATTTAATAATTCAAAAGTAGTATTCTTCTCGATACTCATTTGAAATTCAGCTGTTGTTGCTTGAGCTATGAATGGTGACTTGGAAACTGGTGAAGTAATAGCCTCAGAGACGAGAGCAAAGACTCTCATTCAGATTCTGAAAGGAACTTAAATATCTGAATCCTACTAGTTTTAGATGATGCAAAACATACAAATAATCTTAAGAATCTGGTTTTGAGGTAGAAGAAAAATATTTGAATCACAATGTTTATAGAAGAAAAACGTTTGAGCCGCAATGTTTAAAATGCTCCGTTTTTATGTGATTACTCTTACTCTTTAATGATCATTAATTATTTGGAGAAAGGTTGTCCTGTCAAAAACTCTCAACACTCTTTTTTTTTTTCCCTAAAGTCTGAAAACTAGCAGCCTGTATCCTTGAATATATCCAAGGGCTCTTTTGGGGAACATAGTGTTGATGTTCTTAAGCATATTTTGAAAGACATAAAACCAAAGAAAAGCAATTCTGAGATTTTTTAACTCCCTTCCCAACTTCCAGATCCTTTTATATACATATCATAAAAGGACAGAGGTCTAATCAAAAAAAATGCAGCTACTTAAAGCATCTGTAATATTATCTCAGAAATGAACAACTCCTCTTTGTATTTCCATCAATTTGAAATGGGACAGTGAAGCTAAGTAGTTGAGCAGTTGCTACTAGAAAAATCAAGTACATAAGAGGAAATGCAGTTAACACAATATTTCACATATGTTAATGCTTACAGTTCCATCAGTGTCAGCTTTATTTTCTACTCGATATACACCAAAGCTGGCATACAATTTTAACTGATGAGGTAATGTCATTTTTAATTTAAAGAGCCACAAGCCGTCCACTTTAACTTGTGATATCATCTTTGCATTTGTCTCACGGGACTTCATGTAAACATAAGTAATGTGCCCTAGACAGTTTGGAATAGGGTTGTTAAAGATGACATTGGTCATCATGAAGACATTTTTTTTCCTTTGATCTCCTTAAAAATGTCAGATACACTTTATTGTACTGTCAATTTTAGCTCTTCCTTGTATATTAATATTCTCAGGACATTTCACTGAACATAACGGTAGAATAAAGGTCTAAACGAATTAATGGCAACATTTTAATGTCAGTTGTAGTAGGATAATTTAAAGTAAATGAGATTGTCTGGCTAACAGCTACTTGTTAAATAAAACGGCAGCATGGCTGAAACACAAAAGAAATACATGCAGAGAAAAGCATCTCGCTGCAGTCAGAAAGAGACCCACAGCAAAACTCAGTCTCCGAATGCCACCCCATTTTAGGAAAAGATGAATCCCTTTCTACAATCCTATTGTGTCTGTCCTTCTTCCTGAGCAGGACTGAGTAAAATCATCTACTCATAAAAAAACAGATCTCTCGCTGCACCTGCAGCTTGTGCCTCTCCTTGACTATCCTTCTCATTTGTATTCGCCCAGTTGACTCAGTGCACCAAGCTGCTGGGCTTCCTTCCTCCTCCGAAATCAAATCTGCAAGACCAGAGCTCTAGTGCTGGCATCTGGGCACAGAGCTGAGGAACTTTAACATGAGTGTTGCTCCCTGGCAAGCTTCTACTGCCAATCATTACTGCACATTTTTACTTTCTCTTATAAATTCCCTCAGATTCAAGCAAGTAACCAGAGGAGGATTTATCCCAGAGTGTTCAATAATCAAACCTTGTAATAGTATGATGAACATCGTAGCGTGGTTCAAAAATCTGAGCAAAGATGATTTCTACTGGAACCAGTTTTGTCTTAGGATAATCAAATGCTGTGATTGATGTGTGGTTTTCAAGATTTGCTCAAAACTATTTGTCCAACTAACAGGGAAAATGAGAGATTTTTCTACCATTGATCTGAAACATAGTGAGATTTGAACAAACTAATGTTTAGGGATTTATTTATTATTCTGTGGACATATGTTTGGAGGGCAGCATATGGAAATCAAAGTATTGTTCATAGAGAGCTCCAGCCAAAGAGACATTTTTGAATTCATAACAGAACTTCACAGTTTGAAAAGAATGCTGTGCATTATGTATTGATAACAACACTACACAGACAAAGGAACACAATTTAATAATACAGAATTGTGCTCATGAGATTTCCTCTTTTTTTTGTTAATTGGTTACTTTAGCTGACATTGTCTGCAAGCATAATGGACACCATTCTTCCTAATAGTTCCATGTTGCCAGATGATGTCTACAGACATAATGTAGTCCATTTTAATTATTTCATTTTGCTTACATCTTTCAGCATAATGCATTTTCCAAGCAAGCTAGCATTTTTCTTGATTATCTATGTTGTGTTATGGTTTCTAAATTAATTAGGTCTCCTTCTTTCCTGGAAGTTAAAAGTTTCTTCCTTCCATTTATCTACCAGGTATGATTATGTTGAAGTGATTGATGGAGATAATGCTGAAGGACGCTTGTGGGGAAAGTACTGTGGAAAAATTGCTCCTCCTCCTTTAGTGTCTTCAGGACCATATCTTTTTATTAAATTTGTTTCCGACTATGAGACTCATGGAGCAGGATTTTCTATCCGTTATGAAGTTTTCAAAAGAGGTGAGAAACTCATTCATTATTATATAGTTAATAACCTGTATTTTTTTGACTTCCTCAAAATGTTCACAATAATTCTCAGGAATGGGGGGAATGCGAGAAATTGGTTGAACCTGAAAGTCTCATTGCTCTTATAATTCCATTGTGGGCCATGTGTTCAACTGGGTGCAAATCATTACAGATCCAGCGAGTCCACTGCAGCTGAGGATTGACTCCTCTGGGTGTTATGGGATAGTCTTCATCAGCTGTTTGCTTAGACCTTCTTAACACCATTAGCTTTTTTTCTTTGTGATAATAATTACTATATGATTTAATGGTACTACCTTAACAGCACTGTAACCTTTTGAGTCTCTGGGTTATTTTGGTTAGTGCTTTGCTCTGCATTCCCAAGGGGTAGCTCAGGGCTCAGAAAGACCTGACTACACATGGGCAGCAGATGATGGAAGCATTGGATTGCTGATGCTTTCACAAATTGTGTTTGAGAGGCAAGCAGAGGGGAAGCCCACACTGCAGGCAAGCCTGTCCTGCTGGATGCTTGCACCAGGGGTGCAGTACAGTCCTGTGAGCACAGATAACCCTATGCCAAGCAGAGAAAACACAGTTTAAATAGACAGTCCAGATTGAACAGACCTAGAGATAGCCTCCCTTTGATAAGTCTCCAAGTCAAAAGCTAGAATGGGGGTAGTGAGATCATTTTTTGGCATACACCTTCCCTATAACTGGATAGAAATAAATAATTCATATATTTGATGCTCTAGCTGTGTGTGCACATGCTCTAGATGACTCTGCGTGTGCAGGTGGTTTGGACTAGATGACCTCTAGAGGTCCCTTCCAACCTTAAGCCTTCTATGATTCTCTGATATTTAAAGCTGGAGAATATTGGACCAAAACAAGATAATAAATAAAAGGACAATAAACTTAAATTCCTAGAAGCAAATATTGCCTTCAACATCTATGTTTATGGTCATATTTTCAAAGAAGTTCAACACTCCACATTTCAAATGCAGAGTACTCACAGGCAGTGCTACATTTTCAGGACCAGTTCAGCCCCCTTTCGTGTACCCAAATCAGAGCCAGATTTTAAGCACTTGGTGGCAGCTGTACTGTTAATGAGAAGGGGCACAGCCGTGAAGTCTCTTTTCTCTCACATGCTACTGCTGCTCTGCACACTGCTAATTGGGGCCACAGACCTCTTGTTCACCATCTTCCCTGTCTGTAAATCCACTCTTGGCTCCCAGAAATTCTTTGGGTGACCCTCAAGGTCACATTTTTTTGCAAGAATTCGACATCCAAAAGACACCAAGCTTTCCTGAGAAATGTCTCTATTTACTTTGATATCTTTTAGAAGCTACTCTTATGTCTTGACATTTCTCAGTGCTTGTATGTACAGTACCATTTTTCGTAAATACCAAGGTTGAAAAGCAAGAACAAATGGAAGAGTAGTCCATGAAATAATCTATTTTAACAAACGAGTCCTTTCAATTAAAAAGAAAGCTTTTTTTTTTCTTATTTCTAATAGTGTAGTGGCAACTCAGAGCTCTGACTGAGAGGTTATGTTTATTTTCTTACATGGTCATTTACATCTCTCAGTGATACACATTACCATGTTAAGATGGCATTATGAATGTGTTTTTACACCCACAAAAGTCAGGAAACTCAAAATTATGTCTCCCAGAGCAACTTTAACTCTAGTTTATTCCACATAAACTATATATTAAGGCAAGAAAGTTATCACCAGGTACAGCATTAGAAAATACTGTGTGCGCACAAAGGGTACAAAGTTGTGGTTGCTGCGGGAACACAGTCATTTTTACATTTGAGTTAATGAAAAATGCTGCTAGAAATTTGCATTTTAATTTCTGTACCAAATAGAGATGACCAGCTTACCCTCTCACACAGAGGAAGCTAAGAAACTCTCACCGGACTAATATGCCATGTTTTAGCATATTCACATTCTAGTTCATAATATCCCAGACAGGAAAAGAAGTACTGAAAAATCCCAAGCCACCAAGTCCCGTGGCACTGTGCCTACAGTTGAGTTGCACCTGGACACACAGAATCTTTTTGCCATTTATTCCTGTCAGGCCATCTTTAGTTTTTGAAAAGAAAAGGTTATTCGCTCTGTATGCTAAGGTGAATTATAAACCTGATGATCTTTCTTTGGGCTGCACACTGCCAAAACCATGAGGAGGGACCTGCACATGTAAGGACCATGGTAAATGTAGTATGGGCCTGAGAGTAGGAGCTGCCTTTATTTATTATCCAGCTTCTTAACCAGAGGGTCACTGAAGGAGATACCGAGTTCCAGGCTGAAAACATGAGATCCATATCACCCAACGTTTGGCCCATTTGAAATATTTGTCCCTTTGGCTCTGGGCAGCCAGGCTGTGGCCTCTTGACTACAAGAGAATGCAGACTATTGACATTCTGTGTTCCTAACCTTAGTGGATTTACTTAATGATTTAAATTGAAATAAAAGACATTGTCAAACAGGAAGACAAAAGATTTTCTGGCTTAGTGGCACCTCCTACAAAGAGTAAATGAAATGATCACCATAATAATCTCTTTCTTTTACACCTTCTTTTGCCTGCTCTCCCTCTTCCCTCTCCTTATCTCTTTTTCTGTATTTCATACATACACATGCTTGCAATTTTTCCATCTCAGAAGTATCTACTCTGATGGGCCTTTTTTATGCCAGGACACCATGGAGTTCCGTGTAGCCTCAGAGTAGATTTAATTCCTGCACTTTCTTTACAGTGTCTTTACATTGGAAAATAGCTTTGTTTCTTGCACCAAAGTGTTTTGAAAGGTTTAAAACAAAGCCAGGCAGTATTGAGATGGCATGGGAGAGCACAGTGAGCCCAACAATGTTGTGCTCACAGAGCCAGGGTTTGGTTGTATTTAATTAAGCAGTAATGATCCTGGCTTATGTTTTATATTGCATCTATTATTGGATTCCAAGAGGAGTACAGAGCACTACATGCTATGAATGGCATACTCCGAGGTTATTTTATGCTGGAACAGCAGCTACTGGTGGGAGTGAGGAGCAGCAACCAGGATACAACCCTTCCAAATATGACAAGGAGAGAACGGAATGACAGAGAGAGACGACAAATATCTGACTAATGTGTAAGGGGGAGATTTAATTATGGCAAAATTCAATTTCCCAAATTGGAACAGGTCAGGTTATGTGCCCATTAATATCTACCTCTTCCAAAATATGCCATGATCTCTGAATATTAATTTGATACCTCAACCTATTTGTGTCTGCTGAAGGACAAAAATACCTGAATTGACTAGATTCCTGCAGATCTCTCGCTTGAATACTGAATTTACTTGGGAGGTGGCCAGATCCGTGGGGGGTAATATGTTTGGCACATTGACAAGGAAAACATTTTCTATGTTGCAATAAGAGTATTCATATATGCAACAAACCAGACTGTTTTCCATCAATGAACTGTGTTAAGTATTGGAAATCCTCTAAGGCTCCTGACTACGGTCTCTAATGAAGCTGGGCATCATCTACATTTAAAGCTGCCACACAGACTCATAGCCCAGCAACAAACTGTTGTAACCAGACTTGTGCCCTTGTCTTTCTTCTATGAATAAAATGCTTCTAAAGAGCTTCATCTGAGCCATCCTCCCCAGACTTCCCAGACAACTGGTATCCAGCAATGCCCCAAATCCTGTAGTTCATCTATTACATTGACAGCGTCAAAAGTTAGAGAGGTACCTCGCTAACCAGGGGGAGGAGGTGTGGGCAGTGCCTGAGGCTTGCTCCGAGTACACCTGCAGAGGCAGAATCCAAGGAGAGGATTCCTGGGGGACCTAAATAAAGGAGAAATGCGATCTATCGACAAGAGACGGACTCTGGTTTGCTAAGATGCGTCCACTGATTTGGCCATTTATACCCTGGCTTTTCCACGGCCACTTCTCTGCTCAACCAAATGCAGTGTTTGGAGCATCCCGTTATGCCATGGTAGGGACATGGGGGAAAGTCAGTGTGTCAACATTGACATTAGGTGACTTCTAGCAACACTGCCTGTAATCACACAGTTTATCATGCCTGCACTAACAGCAACATTTTACTGGTGCACCTGTGTCAACACCACTCAGAGTGAGTCACTCACCCTCGGTACATGTACGAATTACCTTTCACATTTAGTTTGTCAAGGAGGCATAGGTCACATCTGGCAGAGTTACTGAGTCAGTGCTCCAGGAATCTGAAACCACTACTCCCTCTACTGAATTCACTCACCCGCTTTCCTAAAATGTTCTATTTCACCAATAAAAGCCTGTCAGCCAGAAGATTTAAAGATTTGAGCTTGAAGGGGCTATAATTATTTCTCTAGGGCTCTGTCGAGATTTCTGCAGCTTACATTTTCATTGTTCCCACATGACTTTGTATTTGTCATAATTTCTTCTAGAGCTGGTACAAGTTTTCATATTGTTCCATACAAATTGAAAATCGCAGATCACACAGTAAATGTATGTGAATTGTGCTTTAATACCTGACTATCAATAATAGAAACAAGCTGGCTGAGTGATTAATACAGCGATTAAAATGAGGTGTTTCATTGGAAAGCCACCTTTGTTGCTAGAAAGACAAATATGACAACATTTGTTTTCCAGCTAACTACTTTGCTTCATAGCATACTGTTAACTTAGGTATTTTTCTCTTTCTCTTATAGGACCTGAATGTTCCAGAAACTTTACTTCATCAAGTGGAGTGATAAAGTCTCCTGGTTTCCCTGAAAAATATCCCAATGGCCTTGAATGCACTTATATTATCTTTGCACCAAAGATGTCTGAGATTATACTGGAATTTGAAAGCTTTGAACTAGAACCTGATTCAAATACTCCAGGGGGAGCGTTCTGTCGCTATGACCGATTGGAAATCTGGGATGGATTCCCTGATGGTAAGAGAAAAATGGACTGTGATATGCATAGCCATTACTTTATAGTGGGTTGCAAAAGGCATATTCTCATCTTTTTAAATGTCGTAGTAGAGAGGTCCTTGTTTGACTGGTGTGAGATGAGTTGAATTAATGAGAGAAATGCATTGTAAATTCATTCAGTAAAGCATATTGCAATGTGAATTATTTTTTAATGAAATACGCTTAGTTTTGAGCAGTTGCTTTAGAGAAAGAATCTGCTTTTATAAGTAATATGAGATGGACCTGTGCTAAAATAAACATGTGGAAATCTTATGAGGGGCCCCCAGACTTCTGAAGGTAATACCTGAGTGGTGTCCAGTAGTTTCATACAATCTGGTTTGGGTTTGCTGGTTTAGCCCAAAGTGGACTTAGGCACAACCCCTCTAGCTTAGAGCCCAGCTGTAAAATCAGAGAATTTCTTTACCAGAGCAAATGTGGCATCTGTCCAACTCAAATCATAGTCACTAAATGATTACCCAGCTCAATGAGCAGTCCTGCAGCTAGTCACTCGGCTAACTTAGGCACACTGCAGGGTTTCTCTTACAGCACTATAAGCAAATCCAAAGGTCTTATCTTAACGTGTTAATTTATAATCTCCACTGAGTAGCTGGGTACACGTGCCAGGCTGCCAGCTGGATACCCTTCTGGTACTTATTTCTTTGCCATTTCAGTAATTTTCCACTTAGTTGTTGACCCCACTTGACCTCATGCTTAAATGCATTAAGTGCATATCTAGATACCAGCTACATCGATGGAGCCATTTCACCCAGTGCCTAGGCTCACATCCCTATTTTACGCTGAGACTGATGCACACAATAGCCAGATGATTTCTTCACCTTTTCATGGCAGCAGGTCCATGACATCCCAGTTCCCTCCAGCTGGGGCAGCCGTGCAGCATTTCTCAAAAGACACTGGCTGGAGAGGCTGAGGGTCCAGCGCATGAGGTGCTGTTAAAGCTGAGTACCTAACCTCAATGGTGCCAAAATGTCTATTCGAACTGTACAAGTAGCAATATTAAACCAATTGCACTTGATGCCTTTTTTCAGCATCTCTGTGTATGCTGCGAGCTGATAAAGAGACTACCTTGTAGATCTTCTTCTTTCTTTTGTAACTTGTGACAAAATCCAGCAAGTCAGGATTCATGTCATTTGTGCTGAGCACTAATTAAAGCTATTTCAGTTTTCTGCTGGTGTGATACCCTATTTTAATATATATGCTCTTTGCTTTTGTTAAGAGCAGTGGCAGTTTCTTCAAACAACTAATCCCATATTAATATTTCATTTAAATGAAAATATATAAGTTTAAGAACATATTTTAATAACATGTTTAAACTGCCTATTTTCCTAGATTAATCCACGATATTGTTACAATTAAAGATTTTATTAATGCAGCAATTAAATAAGTATCTGCTTTTCTGCATGTTAGGTTTTCTTTTTACTTTACATGTTTGTGTAAAACATGTATTAAGCTTAAGAATTAAGCTTAATAAATTTATCATGGCTCTTCTAGCACTCCAGTGGAAAAAAAGAGCCATAACAGTAGTAGAAAAATGATTTAGTATTTAATTCCTCAGTTAGGAAAACAGCACTGTAACAATACACTAATGACATCTGGAACATTTAATAATAGGTTTATTTGTACACAGGCCAAATCTTTCCAAGCTAAATTCAAGGAGAACTTGGGTTTAAACTGACACATGAAAAATGATCCAATCAATCAATTTATGTGTAACATTATCAGAAAGAAATGCATTATTATTAGTGTCAGAGGATTCCAAAGTGGTAATTTTCTGGTTCCCAACAGTGACTGAGCCATACCAAAGAACAATTAGCAATGCGCATTATCAGCCTTCCAATTGCCTCACAGACTATCCAAGCCCAAACTGATCTTGACATCCAGTACGCTTACACATTTGTAAATAGTCATCTAATTCTGTAGACTAGAAAGAAATGTTTCCTTAGACATAAATTGTTGGAGCTTGTAACAGTCTTAGAAAAATGCTTGATACATGATTCACTGTAGGATGATTTTGTAGCCAGAAGTTTCTCTCTTGCTTAACTTAGCACTATAAGGGCAGATAGGACGTCATTGCTTCTCCATAAATATATCACAGGATGAGTACTAGGGAGAGAGAAAAACTATTATTTCAACTGAAGAACAAAGTTGACACAGGAAGCTGAAGATAGAAATTAAAATAAGCTTCTAGATATCTGAAAGAGAAAATCCAGATAATCTTATGAAAAAGGGAGAAGGAAGCCAAAATAAATCTAATACACATACAGATGAAAGTAATAAGTTTCTGAAAAAGATATTTTAGTTGCTTTTGACAAAGGGAGACTCACCCAGACCTTTGCCCCTACTTTCCTCTAGTGTGTGAAAAAATATTTTGACACTGCAATCTATTTTATTAACTAAAACAGTACTAGGGCATCTGTCTGTGGTTTTCTGTACATCTTAATTGCCAGCACATTTCCTGGTGCTATCTTAGCCTGTGTCAACCTGCACTTTCCCAAGCAATTACTAAGTGCGGTTTGGAGGACAGTGATGGGTGCTTTGGGCATGGCCATCCTGCTTTGGGGACAGAGCCATATGGAAGTGAGCAGTGCCATGAGTCTGCCCAAGGAACCCTCCCTGGCCACCGGCCACAGTGTTTCCTTCATTGATACAGACAGAGCCATCAAAATTAAGCTATTTTGCTTTGTTAACATTTTCTGCTGATCTTTAATCTCTTTTTGCTGCACTTCTGCTTACGTGCCCATTTATGCTAGATGCTAAATTACCCATTTTCATACATTTCATTTAAACACAGAATAAAACAAGGAGTCCTACTACTAGGGATATGGTAGATATCTGCATTTAGCAGCAAATTAGTGCACGAAAAGGAGTTTTATATTTTGCCTCGGTTTACTATAAACTATTCCTTTTAAAATATATGAAATATATATATATATGTATACATCTGCTTCCTAAGAGGGGAGAGCAGCACTTCCCAGCAGGTCTGTCTTAGACTTCCTGCTTAGAGTGCAGCGAATGGTCCCATGGAGGTGCTAATCTCATTGACTAGGCTGGGAGCTCCCAATCACTAACTCTGTAACACCTATGATTTTAGGTACCTAAATTACAGCAGATGAATCTCACTGTAAAAAATTTGTATCATAGAATTTGGAGAGCTACAGGCACTAAAGATTGTCAGGAACTGAATTTGTTGTTTTCAAAAAACATGAAATTGTAAAGCATTTTTCCCTTCCTTGCCCCCAAAAAGTTATACACATATATATATATCTTTTTTTTCTCTTAAGTAAAGTTTCAAAATGATGTTTAAAGCGAAATGTCAAAATCACCATGCCTCTACTTACATTTTGCTTCTTCCTCATTGACGTTTTCCTGATGGAAAACAATTTTCTATTGGAAGATTTGCCAGCAATTACAATGATCATTTGTGCAGAAGTTAATCCTGAAATGCCCCTTCACAGTCATGGAGTCCCTAAGTCCTTTTAGTGTTCCTAGTTATCCTTTTAGTTAGAGTTTGAGTCCCTAGTTATCCTTTTAATGGATTGAATCTGGCAAGTGCTGGGTTCATGCATCTTGATTTTGCAAAACACTTGCTTGTCTTTCAAGCATATGAGCAGTTGCATTGACTTCAAAAGGAATTCTCTTGGGACACTTATGTGTCTGAAGTTAAGCAATAGTCTGAAGTGTTTTGCTGGTTCATGAGGGGAATGGTAGGCATGTTGTTCAGGAAGGCCTCAAACCGGCACTTTGTTTCTGCATAACTGCATGCCAAAGGCACCCTTTGGTCTCTTCTTTCATACACAGCAATAAGTGAAACAAGCCCTGTTGGAGATTATTTGGGAACTACAGGTGCATTTTGTAAATATGCAGAAACAGGACGATGCTTTGAAGAAGATAACAGGTGGAGTTGGAACAGGGGAATAAGCAGATCACAGAACAGAAATGTGGCATTTTGCATGAATAATCTAGACACCAAAAACATCTTTGCCCAAGGCACAGATATGCTTCAGCCAGCCTTGCCTGAGAACAGTCTATTGATGACTTTGAAGAAAAATAGCCCTCTCAAATCCAGGACTAGCTTAAGTGATGAATTGCACATATTCATCATGCAGCTTTCTTTGAAGCTCTATAGATTGTCTACTAGGGGCTCAAAAGTAATTTAAAGAAGTTTACATATGGTTTGAGAACCACAGGCTAAGTATTATTGCTCTGGTCAATACCAGAACTGCTTGCACTGAATTATAGAACAAAAAAGGAACACTTTACTCTGGTTGTTAACATCAATGCAAATGAAGCTTGCTATTAATCTAGGTGTTGTTGTGGTTGCCTTCTATACTCTTGTGAGAAGCTATTAAGGGATAAGAATATATACAAGCTCAGTGTAAGTGACTACTGGGTTGCAAGGACAGAATTCAGTTTGCAAGTCTTTTCTCTTTAGCATCTTTAACTGTATGCAAATGTTTTGTCAATAAGAATCACACTGCTTGAAAATACTGTTTACAACACACTTTTATAGACCAAGTATAAAATTCAGTAAAATATCTAGTTAATGTATCACTTCTTTGAGTGTTTTAGAAGTCTGATATACTTTTTTTTTTAACTGTATTACAAAAGATTTCAGCTGGATAATCCAACAGTTTCAGCAGTATTCCAATAAGTACCACAATTCCATGACAATAAATTTTCTCTTTAATCAAGAGGGGAAGCTCTAGATTAGTAATGCAATATATTTTTATGGCAACAGTTGTCAGGAGCAAAAGAGAAGAGGAATTAGTAAAGATAAGATTTTTGTTTAGTTTTAAGCATGAGCCATATTCTATAGATCATATAAATCAGATTCTGTAGCCATCACATGGATGTACTCAAAATAGTCCAAGTATTTCTTCTAGTTCTCAAATAGACTTTGTGTTTTGGAAAAAGCTTGTAGTTGCACCTCCGTCTTTTACCTCAAGAGTAACTTAGTTCTCCACTGCTACGTGCTATGCCAATGGAGGGAGGTGGCAAGGTCCCAGAAACAGCTGGAGCATGGGCTGGAGCTGCCTGGCTCAGAGAAATGTCCCTGTCCTGTGATACTAGAGCTGATCTTGAGCAAAGACATTTCCAAGTGACGCTTGTTTGGAGCAGACCTTATGGGGGAAGCTGACAAAGTGACGTGATGGTCTGCCCACAATGCCGCAAAGAGCTTTCTTGGTCTCAACACATTTCAGTACCTGCTCTCCTCGAATTACCGTTTTGACCGTTATAGCCTTGTATAACCGTGTGAGAATTTATAAAACTCCCCCCTCAATTAACAAAAAAGAAGGGTCAGGAAGACACTACAAAAAAACCAACAGTAGAGTCAACTCAGGCAAACAGCAGTATAATGTTATTGCTCAGACAGTGTTCCCCGCACGGCATTTATTTGATGTGGTGACACTTGAAACATCATCTAATTTATTATCATTCAGAAGTTTTTGAGACTCAAATAGAAAAAGGAGACTTTTTCCCAAACTTTAAGTGTGTTAGCTATTTATATAGGACGAATAAGAATCTATTTCATCCAGTTCTGCTCAGATCGATACCGCATTAGCTTGGGAGGCTAAGGTTTACATGTTGTGCGAAAAAATCAATACCTCTTTGTGTCATGTTCACAAACTTTTTGGCTCCTACATCTACACAAATTGGTAAAGAGAATAGCACCATGATAGCAGGGACAATCTTTAGGAGGCTGAAATGCAGAATCAGTAAGTGTATCTTAAACATTATAAGCCAATGAGTCATGGGGAATCTTAAAGCCTGTCTGCTTTAAACAAAGTTCCCTTCTGTTTGCCATTTCAAAGAGGCCTTCCCTGTAGCAAATGGGAGGAGGGAAGCTCGGGGGTCCATAGCGTGGTGGCCTCATCCTCACTAGACTCTTGCAGTGCAGAGAGCGATTGGCAGCAGTAATGCTGAGGGGCCATCATGGGAAAGAGCAGGGTCAGAGCTGTTTGCACATCCAAAAACTGGAAAAAAAATACGACTGGGGCAACCAGAGCCTGAAGGGAGGCTGTTACTTTACATTTTTGAAAAAACAGTAATGCTAGCACTCCAGAATGATGACTTCCACACGACAGATAATAGAACCATAAAACTTTAATGATTTCCAGCGTTAGAAGAAATCCAGCTCATATCCTCTGTAGTGTTTCATTCCAGCAATGCCACATTGAACATCCCTGGTGGAAAGGGGTTGAACTGGCAAGTATCTTAGATGCCATGAGATTGCCAAGGCAACTGAAGACTAACTGTGGCCAGAACATGGATAGAAAAATATATGCTGGCAGCAAGAGCTATGTCATCTGAACTGCTTCTTTCTGACAATGCTGTGGCCTTACAGAAATATGTAGCTCATATAATAAAGCTATTCCAAGTTGGAACTGTTTTATTTGTTGGAAAAGGCCAATAAATAACTATAAATTTGTGTTAGATGGGGATTTTCTTTGAACTGTGAATAATCAGGATATATAAACATTTTATATTTTAACTGAAAGTTAAACTGGCTTCCTGCAGAAATGATGAGGTGTTAATTTAAGTCTGAAAAGCCAGTGGTGTAAGCATTAGAATGATGTCTTATGATTAGTATTATGATTGACTTTGCATGGGATTTAGTGTTATCTGTTCTTATTGTTTATAAGCACAGATGTATCACTATTCAACAGCCTAGGGACCTATCTGTAGGGAATGCTTAAGTGCTAGAAGGCCACATATGTTGGTTGTGAATTGAGTAGTTTAATTAAAGGAACAGATTATCTCAGTGCACATGCAATCCAGAAAAAAAAAATATGAAGAACTGGTTTATATTTTATTAACAGGCAGAGAGATCATGTATGTGTGTGTGTCCTGTGACAGAAATATACTTTTGAAATCCTTGCTCTTTTTAATGAATTAAGATTTTACTCAAGAATTCTTTTACGATATCCTTGAATAGTGAGCATATGGGAGAAAGATCCTTGAGAATGTGCTGAAAGCCTGAATAGGAGAATATAAAGAGCTCATTGCGTCAATATGAATGCAAAAATATTTTTTCTAAATTTGCTGTGAAACTAACAGACTATTTGCAGCATTGGCCATAAATTCTGAAAGGGGCTGTTAGAACCCTTATTCCTAAAGTTAATGGTGTTCAGCATCTTGTAAGCCTGTGAGTAAATCGGGCCATTCAATGTCCTTATAACCAGGTGCTTCAACTACACTTTGGAAAACACTTCTGCTGCTTTATACATGTAATTTTGTGCATCATTTCTCACTCTGTGCACTTTAAAAGACCCCTTTTAAAATCTAGTTCTTCGCCTCTTCGGCGTGTGTGGAGTGCTACCTCTAACATAGAAGTGAGACTTCCATGGTAGGATAAGCAAATTATTGTTCATTGCTAAGTTATTGGTGAGA